ATTCATTAAATCATTGACGACTCGTGATTTGGGTACATCGAGTTTAAACGAAGTGAATTCGTGATTGAGATCATCAAAATGAACGACCCTAAATTATAATATTAATCATAAATCAATTCACTTTAGAATATGTGATATAAATATAAAATACATATTAATTGATTACATGTATATAAATTTATAATTAATTTGAATGTTATGTAATATAATATTATATAGCAATAAAAACGAATTATATAAGAGTTTTCAAACGAATTGTGACGTAAAATATTATACCAACTAATAAATTTACTTCTATTATATTATGTACCTAAAAAAATATCGTTATACACTCGTATCCGTATAACGTACTAAAGTAATTCACATCCAAACAAACATTCCATCTAGCTAACAGTCAGCAGAAGAAAATGGTAAACCCATTTTTTATGACGTTGTACTTGTAACCAATGGTCCAATTCGATCTTAAAGTACACCGGAATCAATCATGGTCTTTTAAGTTTTAACAGCAGTATCCCAAAAAAACATTTTAATATCATACTTTTACTTGTTATCTGGTTAAATTTTAATTCGTGTATAATTTTCTGATTTTTAATACATGTAAAGTTTTATTATTATTCTTAGTTTATATTACTTTATATTTTATAATGTCATCATTTGGATGTATTTGAGGCCTAATGTGTTGTTATAATATGTATAGATCAAATTTTGTGTGAGGTTATGTTGCAGTGAGTACTCGATGTAGCTGAATGCTTCTCACATCAAAGTTATTTAACAGATTTTGTTGTTCACGTATTAAAGAAATACTCAATAATGTTAGCTTTTTATTGTATGATTTCCTCCATAAGAGAACTCTCCTTAAAACTCTAAATTATTCCACCGAGAAATCAAAGTCTTTCAGTTGAACTGTTGTTGATCATGTACAGTATAGGTTATGATTTTCTAATTTCTGAATCTAGATAACTTCATTAGGACCCTTTTATGAAGTGGTTTTCTGAGGTTGCAAAGTCAATATTTTATTTCATAAAATAACAATCCACGGAAAAGGAAAAAGGAAAAATGAGCAATTAGTTATCATTGAGGAAAACGTATCACAGTTGGGAACTTTAATATAATTTTGACATTATATAGTTTTTAGTTTGTACAGAAAGATTTAAATGGTTCTGTTAAATAGAGGAAACAACTGACTACAAAAAGTATATTTCCATTGCAGGCCATACTCACCTATCCGGATATTGGTGGATTTATTTGAGTGATGTTTCTTTTATAAAACTTGACGCCCTTTGCATTGTCGCGGCCATGGGAGGGAGGTCTAATCTTCGATATGAGCATTTTAGGTCAAAAATTTTTGCATGCACTTCAATATTTTTTTTGTACCATATCTTAGATCCTAAAATACCCCCGTGTTTATATAGCCAACTCTACCCACAAAGAGTAATTCTTGGTTCCATTTGTATGTGCAAAGGGACATGCACATGCATATGATTGCACACTTCTTATTTCTGTTTCATTCAGGCTGTTGGGGTATGAAATGGATTGATTCTATTGTAAAGTTTGGAGTTACATCCATGGATCCTTTGTAAAAGAAATCTTTATTTTTTTTTGTACATTTTAGTTTATGATCGAAGATAACAAACTTAATATTGGTTGAAACAATCTATACTGTAAATAGTCCAATGTAAACAAAGATTTCATTGTTGCTATATTTTGTGTGGCTGCTCTTTTAGCATCTTGACAGCTTCAACGGTAATCAAAAAGCTTGAAAGGAAACTACCTATTCGTTTTTTTTTTTTTTTTTGTGACTTAATTCTCTTTCTTTCTTCCTTTTCCTTTTCTGCACTGGTGCAATCCTCAATGGCTTTGTTGAAAACGTAACGATGCTTTGATGAAAAAAATTTGTGTTTGCTATTCTTCTATTCCTACACCTTAACCGCTGGGCTAAAGAAGCATATTGAATATACAATCTTTATAGGATGACTCCATCTGCTCATAGTTTAAGACAAAAAGTGTCAAGGATTTAAATGGCTAATTTTTTTTTTTGTCCAGATATAAATGGCTAATTTGCTAGCACTACAAACAACAAGAAGCTAAAGGAATAAAAAATTGAGAAAGATAACAATTACACATTAACACTTTTGATTCTGATGTAAACGTTTATATGAGAGTATAATGCTGACTATTAAATGAACTTGATAAATATAAGAAGTCCAAGACTCTATTTTTAAAAGATATATAATTTAGAATCTCTATAATGTCTTGGCATATCGTACAGTTTAAGTTATACCAGATAATAATTCAAGATGGTGTATTTGACTAACAAAGTGCAAAGTAAGTTCTCTCTGGTTTTTCGAAAATAGATGGATAATATTTCTTTAAAAAATTATAAGGGTTAGATGTAACATGGATTCATCAGGTCGAGCCTGTAAAATGGTTCACATACAAAGCACGTGTGCATTAACTAATAAGTTTAAAAGTGACTAGTTTTGGGAGATAAGTTTTTTAGGGAAATGATTATGATAAAAAGTTTCAACCGCAGCTGTTGGATCAGTGATGAAACCCACTGATTCAACAGCTGCAAGTGATTTGACACAAGTTTTGGTGCACAGTTTTAGATTATCTCTAGCCCTTACCATTTTTTGTATTCAAATTTAAATTTGAGTAAAAAATAGTTTAAAATGTTTCTCCAATGCTAGATTCATACCCATATCAAATGAAGAGAAATCATTTTTTAAACCCAAATCAATTGAGAGCCTTTTTTAAACCCAAATTTTTTAATGGTGAGATTATACACTCTTTTAAAGATCTAATTGTCATATTTTACCTATTTTAATTTTGATTTTCTCTTCATTTAAATTTGAATTTCTCTTTCTTTAAATTTGAATTTCTCCGTTGAAAAGGTCTATAGAAAATGAAGTTTTTTACTTTTTTATACTCTAATTTGGGTAAGGATTTGAGTTTTCATTGGAGATGTTCTTAATACATATAACATTGCTATTTATATTTTAATTTTTTAAATATAATAAATTTACTTACTTATATTTTAACAAAAAAAAAAAGACAATTGAATTGGGTTTAGAGGTGCAGCTCGGGCGGGTTGAGAGGTTAACCTTAATTCAACATTAGGTATATAATTTTCAATTCTAACTCTAACCTTAACTTGAGTACTGTTCGAGTTAAATTCGAATGAGTTCGAGTTGAATTTAAGTTCCTTAATTCGAACTACTTTCAAGTTAAAATTTGAGTTAGATTTGTTCAAACTCAAAATTGGTCTATTTTTCTAAACCTGATACATTCAAACACACCATGACAAATTTAAACCAAAGCACTACAACCACTACCACAAGGACCACACCACAATTATTACCCACTGCCATAAATTTTTTTACAAAATCTGAAAATGAACCGCACCATACCATAGACTCTGCCCACTGCAAAATCTGGAAATGAAATTTTACAAAATCTGAGAGATCTATGAAGGTCTGAATGGCACAAATCTAAGAGATTCAAAAAGCGCAAATCTCAGATCTGATGAAGATCTTCACTAAGTGGCACAGATCAGAGAGATCGAGAGTGAAAGTCTGAGTGAGGCGCAGATCAGAGAGGCGCAAATAATATCTTCGGTCAATCATTGATGGTGATTGAGTGTCAAGATTATGAGAGAGGTTGAGAGACTGAGAGAGGGAGGTGTCGGAGAGAGTGAGGGTTTGAATGAGAGAGGTGATCATTGAACCTAGTTAGATTTATACATTTACTAGTTATAATCCTACGTAAAAGGATGATGATAAAACATAAAATTTGATCCTTTAAAAAGTTAAGCTTACTATACTAAATAATAATTTTTTATTTCTTCATTTATTTGATACATCATTTAAAATTAATTTTTATCTATTAATTTTTAAAAAATAACATCAAAATTTTTTTAAAATGTATAACCCGACAAATTTTTTTTAACATGTGTATATTATCATGTATGAATAATAATTATGTTAAATTATAAATTAATTAAATATTAAATAATTAAATATGTGATAAAATTGGGTGATGAGATGATTTTTTTGGAAGAGGGTGAATATGTGTGAGATAAAAATTCAAACTCTTAGGTGTTTTATTAAATAAGTTTTTAAATATGTTCGGGTTGAATTTGATTTATAAATTCGAGTTAAACTTGGCAAGTCGAGGTCTCTACTTAGGTACTTCCTCAATTAAATTCGAATTGATGATTTTTACCTAGGCCCAATTCAAATATTAAAATTTTCAATCTAAATCTTATTTTTTCGGATTTGATTCGGGTGTAATTCAAATTGGCCTACCTAATTACACCCCTTATTGAGTTTGTTTAATTTGCTCTATAATAAATCTGAATTAGAAGTTGATCAATGTTATATAGACTTAAAAATAAGGAGAAAATATTCAGTACTTGACAAGTAACAGATTGTCATTGACAGTTGATATTCATTACCAATCAACAAATATCACCTCAAGATAGGAAATAGAGAGAAAAATTGAAAAAGAATCTACATTGATATGACATTTCTTGATTTGTGATGAGTATCAGTTGTTAATGACAGTCTGATACTTGACAATGACAGAATATGAGTGACACTTGTTGATTGGTAATGAGTACCAGCTGTCAATAATAGTCTGATTCTTGCCAAGTATTTTTTTCAAAAATTTGACTTGGTAATTATAACCACTAATTTTATTGTAAATCTTAATATTTATTCAGACTTATTATTTATTCAATAATTTAATTATTAAATTTAATTTTTACGTTTAATTTTTAAATACACGTAGCTTTACTTTGTAGAGGTTAGAACCACCGGAGCGAGAGAGAGAGAGAGAGAGAGAGAGAGCTCAGATCGACGACATGTAAGACTACTTTTTCAATCTCCACCGTCATCGCAGAGAAAGCCATATTCCCATAAGCCTGAATTTAGGTCTCTCTCTCCATCTGTTTAAAGAACTCATTCAATCTGCAGATTGTTCTCTCTCTTCTGCGTACAATGTCAGCGAAGTCACCCTCCGTTTATGGCGCAATTCCCACCACCTCCGCCAGCCCCACACCCACCTCCAATATCAGACGCCCGCCACCACTACCACCACCGTCCGATTTCTTCTCACGCGCCAAAGCCAAGATTGCCACGGCCCGCCCCTGGAAAGAGCTTCTCGATCCCACCTCCTTCTCCCTCCCGTACAGCTACTCGGAAGCCATGTCTCGTATTCGCCGAAACTTGGGTTATTTCCAAGTCAACTACGCAATGGTAATGCTGCTTATCCTCTTTCTTAGCCTCATATACCACCCTTTTTCCATGATTGTCTTCTTGATAGTTTTCATAGCCTGGTTCTTTCTGTACTTCTTTCGCGAGGAACCCCTTGTGTTGTTTGGTAGGATCGTAGATGATAAAGTTGTTTTGGGTGTGCTGGGTTTGGTTACTGTGATTGCTTTGGTGTTCACTCACGTTGGATTGAATGTCTTGGTATCTTTGATCATTGGGGTTGTTGTAGTTGGGTTACATGCGGCGTTTAGGGGTATAGAGGACTTGTTCTTGGATGAGAATGAGGTAGCTGAAGGTGGGTTGCTTTCGTTTGTTAGTGGCGAGCCAATGCGACCGGCTTATACTCGGTTGAATTGAATCTTCTGATGGGTGTTTCAATAATGCAATTTGGTTTTAAGTTAAGGGTTTTGGTGTCAATTCTTGGGGCTCTGGAGTTGGATGCACAAAAGGCGATATTGGTTCTTTCTTGTTGTGTTGCAATCGGCTGAATGATCTCAAGGATCTTGGTATTCGTAATCAAATTATGGTGACCCCGTCTGTATTTTGGCCATTTTTCATGTTCTTTTGGATTGTTGGTGTTGAATTTGTAGTGTAATAGGGCAGACAAATATTGCTGACACAGTAGGCAAAATTGGGTATCTGGTGGTTTGCGGTCTCAACCGGTGAGGGGATTTGTCCTTATTTATTTCTGCTTTTGGTCGAATTTCCAAGGCTTATAACTTTGTTCTACTCGTTGAATTGTTATCACAGCTTTGTTGTTTTTTTTGGTACAGGCTTAGTTGAAAATTTTATAGTGTAAAGCATTTGTTATTAAGGTACTATTGTATATATGTTGATTATGTGTGGCTGCGTGCTTTAATTACTCATTTTTGTGTGTTCATTTGGTTCCTTACTCCAACGAATCTGAAGCTGGAATTAGTATCTTGCTAGTTGATTACTTAGTATGGACACGATGGCCCTTCTCTGTGAACATGGTAAAATGATTACATGCTAATTATAGTGGTTGCTAGGGAAATATCTTATATCTCCAAAAAATACTTTTTATTTATTTGTTATTGGTGAGTGACTGTTGGTGGTTGGAATGGAAGGGAAGGTGAGGTGGTGGGAATGGTACTACTAAGGACTTACTTTCCTAAATGCATCCAAACAAGGTAGATGATTTTAAGTTCTCTAATCACTGTAAATATAGAAAAAACAAAAACTTGATGGAGGAGATTTAACACCTCATACACAAGCATGAAAAACTCAGAAGAAGAGATTCAGCACAAACCTCAAGCATTTCTTCTTGGAAATTCAGTTAACTTAGTAGGTCAGACAGATTGAACTGTTGGATGCTTAAATTCTGCATCGATGTGGTACTTCTTGTTTGAGTGCCAAATCTATCATTTACGAGTGATACAAAATTAACTAACCCATTTTTGTGATGTCTGCTAGACTGCTAGTTCAGGTGATTTTTCCCTTATATCCGAACAGGGGTTGAGTCAAATTGCTAATTGTTGCATTAGTCAATTTTTAAGGATAGTGGTCACATTGAAGTAAATAAATTTGGAACATCCCAGACTCATCACTTTGATATATTTTCTCCTGCCTACTATTTTGAAAAGATGCAGGGTTCAAGCCTGACAGGTGCAATGTCTTTCTTCTTGATATATTTTCTCTTTTACTTTTTATATATGTATTTTTTGTTTTGTGATCGTTTTTGTGTGTGGGTGTGGGTAGAGGGGCTAAGATATGGTCCAAGTTGTGTGGGATGCAAGTTTACACAAAGGTGTACAGACGCGCGCAGGCTCACATACAAAACTGAAGATTCAGGAATTTCAGAGTGTTTTAGAAGGATTCTTTTTTTTTTTTTTGGGTCATTTTTTAGAAGGATTCAGGTTCTGGTTATTTAGATATTATGTGGCAAAGTAAACAGGCTTATTAAGTGGTCAATCGACTGAATTTGATGTGAATTTAATTCGGTAAACAGTCAGGCCATAAAATGATTAATCTTCCCCAATGAATTGGCAAATGTACTTCTTGGAATGCCAAAACGGTGTAGAGAAAATGGATATTTGATTAATGTTCTCATGGATTCCTGTCACATTTAAGAAACCCATGTAATTAGTTTTTTGGCCTTTCCTTCCATCCAATTAGTTTCTCAGAAAATGTGTTGCAACTACATGACTAAATTTTTTTTAATGAACTCAATGGCATTCACTGCAGCATTAAGTACTAGATAAGAAAGATTACAAGTTAGTATTTTCCATTTATAAAAATGAAAATGGGTTTCATTTTAACGGTTATTTAGCTTTCTGTACCGTCATTGGCTCGTCTGAACATTGGTTTATGGTGATGAGGTTATCACAAAAGTTTCAACTGGCAAAGTGCATGAACTTCTGTTAAAAATAGATCTGTTCACTCGTTAAATATTGATTCATGTGTGGGCGCATAGCTTATTTTAATGGAAACAATGGCATCTGCGAAGAAATTATGGTTGACATATAGACAGTTGTATGTTATGAATCTGATTATGAAGGAACCTATCCTTCTCTCATAGGTGCTTTCCTCAAATTCTTATACTTATGGAATTTTTTTTTTTTTTTTTTTTGGGGGGGGTGGGGGGGGGGGGGGGTGAAGAATTGCTGGAAGAAGTATGCATTCTATGCAAAATGAAGGAAAGCATCAAGATGGGAAACGGAAGGGAAACAAGGAGTTGTGTTTAGGTTAAAGGAGGGACCCTACCTGCAATTTTTTAATTAACCTCTTTTTTTGAAATTGCTTTATGGAATGCAGTGATAGGTGATTGTTTCTTCACCTTTTCAATCCAAATTCATGCTTACCTTGCTGCCTTTTATAATTTCATCTAAGGTTGGTAAATTAGACATTCTGTGGGGCTTGCTATCATCAGCAACTGAACGTTGCTCTCTTCTCACTCTAGTTTGTTGGCTTCAGTCATTGTTACGCATCATCTTGAAATGAAGTTGAGACAACATATGCTAAGATTTCATCTTTGCTTGATTCGGATGTTACAGCAGTTTGGTAACAAGCTTGTTAAGCATCATTTGTTATATATGTTTAGGAAGTGTGATAGTTTTCTTTTTGGTTGAAATGAGGACAGATCACTTGTTTGAGTAAATTGGTCGACTAGAAGCGCTCCAACTCATATGGGTCTATGTTGGTCCTTTTTTGGGTGTTTGCCGTTTATTTTAGAATTAAATTGCCGAGAATGAGGAGGTCATACTTGTATACAAACAAAGATCAATATATTTTGTAGAAGTTGGAGGAATATGTTTTTGCTAGTTTAATTTTTATTTCGTTATGATGCCTCAATATGTTTTATTTCTTGCCCGTTTGAATGGCTTTGTTCCTTTTATTAATCAAAGGTGTTATTGGGTTATTTAGGCTATTAGATTTTGGGGTAATCCTCTTCCCTAATGAGTGTGGTACACTGTTATTACCTTGCAGTGATATTTCTCCAATCTCAGATCTTGATGAAGTCCAGTTAACTGTTTTTGTGATGACAATGCTTGTGCTGGTACAGTATTTTGTCTTGGGAATTCTTTAATCTTATCATTGTGTAGTATTTGAGGCTGTTATCCTATATCAGTTTCACAAATCCATTGTGTACTAAGCTGTGCGACTAGTCTCCTATTAGTGTTTCGGGGGCCTAAGAGTAACATTGGGGTCTTTGGTTGCTTCTGTTTTACATGGCATTTCCGATGAACATGTTATCTTTGTTTCAGCAAGCATTTAAATGAAATGCCGCTAAAGTATTGAAGAGTTAAACAAATCGTCCCACATCTGCAAGGACAATGTATTTCTCCCTTAGTCTCCTGATCATCTATGCAAAAGCTCTAATATTTTGAGCGGGCAATACTTTACTTTTTGAGTTTGCATTACATTTGTTTTATAAGTAGAACTGTTCTAATCACATGCTCCTTGGACTTGTGGTTGCTATGTATACTCGGAATGAACACAATCATTTGGAAACCATGCAAATTGAGTCAAACATCTCTTGCGAGATTTAAATGTGGACATAACTTAAGTCATACCATCCGACCTCTAAGAAACAACTTTGTTTGTGATGATTTCTGTTTCTATGGTGACTCGTTTTGGAAGCCTCAACCTTCTGGAAGAATCCTTCTACCAAAGTTGAAAGAATACATGGGTTCTCGATTGTTTTGCAATGTAATTCAATGCTTTTTATGTGTACTGTAAGAGCCATTAGTGTGTGGTTGGAAAACAAGTAGGTCACAACAAATGTGCATTACCTTCTGTGAATCTTGGACGGCATAGCCATTGACCTGTTTTGCAGCTGGGCACTTTAAGCAGAACTTACCGGTAGTATCTTGGTGTTGGATGTTGGTTATTTGTTGACTACTCGTTGGATAGGTCACGTGACGTCAGTATGTGAAGAAAATATTTAATGTAACTGTGATAGTATTTCATTATACATGTTATCAACTAATTATGACATATTGATGTGGATTTAGTAGATCTTGTTATTTTAATAATTTTCAATAACGTGTATATTTAGTGAATATAATGCTGGAATAGTAGGATTTACTAATTTTATATGTTATTTTATTAGTAATTGGTGATTTCTTGTGTTAACGATGATGATGTGTATGACCGTTATACTGAATGCTGTTGTCTTTCTACCTTGTTTTAAATCTTAAAACACTTGCTACCTCATTGCCAGGTTTGCTTGGTTTCCTCTTTTTAAAGGTTACATTTACTCGTTGTTGGTGAAAAAACAAAGGCCAAAAGACAGAAAGGAAGGAAATAGAATCAATCAAAAGGTTGTAGTTTGATTTTCGGACTTGTGCAAACAATATGAATGTCCATGACATTTTTAAAATGGTACTGAATCGGAGATTCTAATTAAAAATGACTTATTTACCTTTAGTCAAGGAAAGTGTGTCTATGCGTAAGGTTGATAATTTTTGACATGTGTGACTTGAAATTGATACAAAATTAATAGGTTAGAGTTAATTATTTTTCAACACGAATTTGTAAATGATACGATCTGTTAATACAAATAATAAATAGGGTGGAGTGGGTTAGTGTCTAATGAATAACACGAAATTTACATGATTAAAATTTTTAATTAATATTATAAGAATAAAATGTTAGATTTTTGTCACTTTTTTTCAAGAATTGACATAATTCTTATACAAAAAGAGATTTATATTTATTAAGTTAATTTTTAGTTTATAAAAGAAATATGAGTGTGAGTTTGATTTGGAGATAATGTAGCATTAGATTTAAATTTTTGTATTAAATTTTTTATTCATGGGTTATATAGGTAGCTATGAACATTACACGAAAATAAATAAGTTGAGTCGACACGATATAAATAATTAAATGGGTTA